AAATGCGTTTGAGGCTCGATTTTCACTCCGAGCGCACGGCGTTTCGATCTTTTTTTGTTTTTCAGAATAATTGAACAATCGGCATTGTTTATCGAATTTGTTACAGCAAAAATGCTATAGCAAAAAAAAAAACAAAAAAAAAAGCTAAATAGTAAAAAAGTAACATGTAACTACTTAAAATATCTGTTTCGCAAATTGAATTATAGAATTCTATCTCACGACGATTCATAATCAACTGCAAATTTTATGACAATGATAAAATTAACCAAATATATTTTAAACATACATCTTCAAAAATATCAAAGAGATTTAAATCCCTTAATTTATATATTAATTTAACATATATATTTTTATATGACATTACATCTTTATTGGAAATTAAGTTAATTTCCGACTTTATTCAAAAGCGGGTTTAACAATCGACGAGATGAGGTAATAACATACCTTTGCACGCGAGCGAAAAAAGAAATGAACCTCGGCATAATTAGAAAATTGGCCCGACTTTCCGGAAGAAAAACGTTAGGTGTAATTAAGCTGACAGTTTAATTGTCGGTACAAATGACGAACCACGTTACGAGTGCGGTGATCGGCGATTTGCACGTTTAGGTGCAGAATTTCTCGGTAAAATTTAACCATCGCGTGCAACACTGGAATCTCCGCTGAGATTAAGCCGGCGTTTCCGAGACGTACTACATTACTTAAAACAAAGTTTTTATTGGCTTGTTATTTTTCATCGCGGAACAAAAATAGTCGCGTACAAAATTTACAATCGAATTTTTTTTAATAAGAACTAATAACAAAATTAATTCCCAAATGGAAACCTCGATTACAAAATTCATTTTTCTTCAATATTCATGTTTATTATTAGTTCATTATATTTTGAAGCTCTATTATCCTTAGCTTATCTCTTGCCATAACTTCACTGCCAGAATTGTTCCTTTTCAAGAAATTCGTGAAACATTTACAATTTCGAAACGTTGTGCAGTGATCAAAAAATTAAAATATTTCGTACGAAAGAAGAGTAAGATCGATGCCCGATAGAATGTATCGAATAAACGTCAGAGCGATTTTCAACACGAGATGCGCGCGCTCGCATAAAATCCCAGACAATGTTTTCGCGTGGGGATGTTTTTCGCAAAGCGTCTCCTCGCTCGACGACAGCATCGACGAAGGATATCGTATAAAAGAGGAACCTGCAGACCGGGTTCTGTTTTTTCTCCATCGTCATCGAGAGTGCTGCATCTCTTTCTCACTCACTCTCTCGTCTGTCTCTTTCTCTCTCTCTCTTTCGTGGCGTGGTAGGGAAATTTTTACAAAGATATCACATCAGGTACGTCTTAGGTGAGTGTATTATATCTTAGGCATAAATTTAATAATAATAATTAATAACTAACGTCTAATCGTTAATTATTAGTACCGTATATTAATCGCGCGACGCGGAGCTCGGCGTTGTTGCCCGGTTGTGTTGTGAAAAACGCGAAATCTATAATTATATAAGAACGAACGAAAAGCAATCTCGCTCTGACAGATTTAAGGATGCAACGCTGAATTCCGTATGCGATGTATGTTGACGCACGGCTTGTCCTTCATGTCTAGCGTCTATGACCGCTATTCTCGTCGAACATTTAATATTAAACGCGATCGATCGTAAAATTTGATACGATTAATTCAATTCAATTTAAATAGTCATAATTTGTCTAATATGAAGAACGGTGAGAGAACGAACAAGGAACAGTCAATCTACACGCAAGTAAATTGCACAATTGCATTTAGCACTAAATGAGCGACAAGAATAAAAGCTTATATACCTAAAATATTTGTAACTCTGCACAACTTTTTATTTGAATTAAAACTATTAATTTCAACAGGAAAATGAACTGTGTCTGTTGCTGTGTGTGTGCTGCTATAATTAAATATTGTGTAAATTTTTTTTTAATTAATGTCAAGCGTGACATAATAGTAATGATTTCCCTGCTGCGTTTTGGTTCCCGCAAAACACGGAATAATCATGCTGCGTAAAAAAGAATGGTACGAGCGGAAAATACAGCATACTGTACAAACTCACATACTGCCGCATATAATATTTACATTTGTTCATCCCACCGTAAACTGATATGAAAGGCCAATATCTTCGCGATAGTAACGGATAAACATGAAGAAAGCTCGATTACGCGTAAAAATTTTCAGAATGCAAATTGCCGTGTGGTACTGTAACGTAATAACTTTCACAATTATCTCATATCTCTCAAAACTCCTCTATTACTGTATTTTAAATGATATTAAATAAAGATACGAAAAATCCGCACATCTTGGACAATACTCTTATAAAGTAAGATGATATCGTTTTTATACGAATACAATTTCTGCTCGTGCTAAGATCTTTTTTAAATTTCCAAGCTATTAAAGGTTTTCAAAAACGTAAAATGCAAAACGTAATCTCATAAATGGAAAAGATAGTTAGAAATCTCTCGCACGATGGAAATAATAGCTACCGGACAAAACTGAATATAAAAATGAGATGACCGCCGTACTGTGGTCGAAATTATCTCGAAGGAAAGAATTGGATTTGTCAAAAAGTCCTTCGTTAAAATTACGACAAATTCCGGCATACGTTTTACACGTAAGATGTACCGCTATTTAGCTTATAATCTGTCAAGCGCGAATACAAGAAATACATGATGGGAATAATATTAATTACAACGTTACTTATGACGTTTTGATATTATGTTAAAACCCGATTGTTCGCGATAATTAGCGGCTGATCTTCGCCTGAGAGAATTCCTCGAAAACCGTTGTTGCCGACGGGAGCCGCGCTATTGAGATAAAATATCAAGCCAGACTAATCTCCGAGACCGGAAATCTAGCCGACGTATTGTAAAATCTGTCATGAAACAATACCGCACGGCGATAAGAGAGCCGCTTTTCATTTCTCGGTGTATATAATACACACACACACATACACACACGCGCGCGAGCGCGCGCACCACACGCACACGCACACACGCAGAGAGAGACGACACACACACACGTATATGTGTGTGTGTGTGTGTATAGGAAGGAGGACCGAGCCGTTGCCGTCTCGCAGTTAGATGCATTAAGGATAAACGTTTTGTAAACTAAACAGGAACGCTTTCGTGACACGAGAGCTTCTGTGACATGGAAAGAGGAAAGGAATGGATATGCTTGAAATAACGATGCAAATAAATTCATGGATAAAAGTGTTTGAGTTTGATGCGCTTGGTTCGATGCAACTGTATCAGAAAATTTACTTCCGCCAGAATTTATAATAATTCGAAATCTTTTCTTTATCCTGGTTTAATAATATTCGATCAGAACTTTACTCTTTTTCAATAATCCGAATACTTAACACAAATACTTACGTAATACATATATTATACTTTTAATCTCTAATTGTACTAATTATGAATTTTTTTTGTAATTTGTGCACGGTACAATTCGCGGTCTGTTCTTTAAAAAAAAAACGACAATTACGCGTGATTACTATGCAAATTTTATTTTCCATAAAATACTTATTTGATACAATACACAAATGCATTTTCATCCCTTCCTTTTTCACGCGTTACCGGCGTTACGTGACAATGACAAATCAATGACAGATCAATGAAGGAGTATGTGGAGTGCCATGATGATGATTCTGTACAAGTCACTGTGCATTCTAGCCATAAGGATAGCCGATAGGACTAGCGATTAAGCCAAAGCATATGTAGCGATGTATAACACATAAGTTTATATTACATAATAAAATGTGTCGAGAAAATAAGCGGGCTCCCTTCTCGATCTTCGAATACATAATATTTTTCACTTGCGACGTATGAATGGTATTCGTATATAATAAAGTAGTAATTATTTCAGGAATCGTGTAATATCCTCTCTCTTTGTTATCCATCTTTTAATATTCACAAAGTATCACCATGTGTAACCTCTTTTTCAAAAAATTAATATTTCTAAACGATAACCTTATTAGCTGTTAAAAAATAGCTAATAATAAGAAATTACATTTTAAATAACAGTTAAAAATAATTTAACTTTTTGTAGAGTAATATATTTGCTACTAGAGTATGCTATATCTTATAAATATTTTTATATATTATAATATATTATAAAATACAATAATAATATAATATATATTTTTAATTATAAGTGATGAAAAATTATATGATAAAATTATATTAATTACGAAAATTGAAGATACATATGATAGCGAATGTATTAAAGAAATCCTTGGAATCGAATACTAAAAGATGTGCCTCTTACTTTTTCAGATCTTTTAACGTTAAAGAATATTTACGACAATCTTTAAGACACGATAATGATGATAATAACAGCTATTATTGTTATATTACTCAGCTGAAACAGCTCGACGAAATGAAAGCCACTGCTATAAGTATGCAATTACATTGTAGTAAGTATGTAACTATGCCGGAAGTAAGCAATTTCGAGTCAAATTATGGAGTCGAACGAGTTCTATCTCTCGTCTACTATTTTCCATTCTCGGTCCCATCTCACTACCGCATCACCGTCATGATAAAATCGTTGGTGATGGCTCGCAAATTCACGCTTCAAGGAAATCGATCGTTATGGAGATAGCGTTCTCCCCTTCCCACTCGCATAACAACCATTTAACTATGTTACTGTGAAATTTCGGTTACTTTCTTCCCTGCGTGTAAAAATTCCATATATAACGTACGCGACTTGAAAAGAATACTTTCGAACAAAAAATTGCAATGCGATTAATTTTGCAGCATGTCAATGAGAAATTTTCCTAGTCAGCGAATATTTTTTTGAACATCTACAAAATACATCCGTCACAATTAAAATCAAATTTCTTCTTATAACGTCATATAATATTATATCTGCGATGTGTTTGCTGATTGGAAATCACGCTAATCGAAGACAAAATATAGACCAGTATTTTCGTAGTCCATTGTTTTATTTTTAAATCATTTTAAATATCTTAAAATACTATAATACGTGACTGTGATTAGTTCATGATCATATAAATATAAAAACCAACTATGAATATCAGCTTCCTAGCGTGCTTAAAATAACAAATGCAGAAAGCCGAAAATGGAGCGGTATTGTTAAGTTTTTATCGAAATCCATTTTTCACAAGTAGCTCTTCTTGCCTGTCGTAACGACTGGGTGGCATTAGTTGAAAGCGCACGCAGTGTAACGATTCTATTCATCTTTCACTGTTCTCAGCAATCTTACTCGACGGACTTGTTTCTCCTTACTCCATCACATTGCTATCCTGACAAACCCTACGAATGGCGGTAAACTCTGAAAAGAGGCACCGGTAAGTAGGTGAGCGAGATAGGTACATACATAGGTCGCATTCAATCCTGACTGCGTACTCGACTCTCCTCTTTATTTTCTAGGATCTTCAATTTCCTACCATGTCACCGTGTGCACTTTGTTATGCTGCATATTTTGCGGAGGACCAACTTACCAAGGAGCAATTTCTCTTTCTCTTTCTCTCTCTCTCTCTTATCTCCCCTCTCTCCCCTCTCTCTTTTCTTTCTCTCTTTTTCCTTCTCCTCAGCTGTTTGTCGTTCTTCTATTCGTGTGAAGTGGACGCTCGAGATAATATTTATTGAAAGAAAACACCGGAACAAAGATACTAAGAACCCGTCGCGCGCAGGACTTTCTTAGGGCAATTGTATTTGCTGCTGCTTCTTTTACTGATATATGATTACAGCACAAAATGTTGTTTATCGGAACGTTGTTTATGTGCAGACGAAATATTTCGCATATACAATACTATAACTACTCTACGAAATTTAATACTCAAGTAGCAATATTATGTTAACAAAAATTTAAATATAATTTTCAAAGAATTAAATACATTAATCTATCTAACATAAAGTCACTCGAAAATTTTATTTTAGAATAATAATTGCGATTATAAAAATAAATATTAATGTTACATATAAAAGAGATGAAATAATGTAGCAAAAATGGAATAATTTAAGTATGCAATTAATATGCAATTTGAAGACAAAAATATTCAGAATAATAATCCGTAACTCCTTATCGACTAGACAGTCTTCAAGAAACTACAGGCGGCACTAATAATCGTCCCGCTGGGACGATTCTACCCGTTCGTTGTTATCACGCAACATTACCCCAAGATAAAGCGTTCGACGCAACGATGGCAATGGCGCTGCTGCAAAATTGCACAGAAAAAGTCGTGAAAGTAACAATCCAAAGTCATAATACAATTTTCTTTTAACATTGAATCGTACTGCTATAATTTTATATAATATCTTGTTGATAATTTTATCAATATTTTATCTATCAGAAAAATTTTTCCAAAATTTGTTATCAACTTTTAGTAGTGCATTTTCTTATTGGCAACTATTTTTACCAACAAGAAAATGCGATACTAAAAAATCCTGAAAAAATTCTCAGAATTCTATGAGAAGAAAATAAACAATTTTTGCCACTTGATATTTTTCTGTAAAGTTAATAGTATTTGAGTAAAAAATTATTGAAAACTAATATAATTTTTAGTAATTGATATCTTGTTAACTATTGCGAAAATTACAAATGGTAAAGGACTTTTCGACTCGGTTTAGTTCACGCTATCCCTATGCAAGAGGGATCATTTTTTCGTTATTTATCAAACACGCTATATGTAATAAAATGTTCTGACTTATTTTGAGCTAATTTTTTATTATTTTTTTATCTCTATTTTAATTCTAAGCTAAATTAACTTAATAACAGTTACAGGATAAAATATTATTTTTCAATTTTGACCAGGTGTCCAAAATCGATTTTAATCGGGTTAAAACCAAGTTAAAACCATTGGTTAAAACCACTGTCCGATTCCTACCATATACAAAAATTTTAATCAATACAAAAATTTTAATCAATAATAATTTATTTATTGATTAAAATTTTTGTATTGATTAAAATTTTTTTGCGATACTTTATATAATATACAAGAAACGTAATAAAAATTGAAATAAGAAGCATAAGAACTATTGAAACCTAATTTCTAAAGCTTCTTGCCAATCGATCATTCTCTTTAAAAACCTGTCAATTGTACCGATAATCCTTCCCCCGAGACCTAAGTTTAGCTGTTGGGTAGTCGAAGCTTTGGTTGTTATCGCGCAACATTACCCCGAAATAAAGGGCGATGCGTTTGGCACCGAGCAACAGAGGACGATACAGGATGGTATAAGAGGTGAGTACAATACCTAGAGGAAGCATGTGATCTCGCAACCCTCTGCAGATAAGGATTGGGTAGGACCAAACCTCCCTTCAGTATCACAGCGCTTGTGAATCGACAATATGTAACGTCGCTGCACGAGAGTCACACACAAATACCACGCATCGCATTATGTATGCCAAAGCTGCATACACCCCCACTATTGCGGGGTTGAGTGTCTTCGACACAAACGATGCCCGAAAGCCGATAAGACTGGTTCATTGAAGGATCAGAATATCATCTCCTTTTTAAGAATCAATCGTGAGAGAGTGCTTATACACAATTGCCGGAGAATTTTAGCGTTAACAATAAATGTCACAAAGTCGATCGCAAATTCCACTTATTTTTATATCCTTATGGAATAATCAAACATTGATTTTACAAGGAAATGAAAGAAAATGATGCGCGCAAACATCGATATATTCGTCTTTTAATTCTTAAATTGCACGTCAACTAGAGCACTATTTTTATTAGATATTGAAATTTTTAATCAGATGATATTAGTTAAATGTAAAACAAATTGATATAGATAATTAACTTTTCAATTTTTGGAATTAGCAGTAATGTTATATTTAAGATTAGACGTATATTATTAAAGTATTCAGAAATAGATATCATAGATATATGAACTGTTTTTAAGAGATTACAGGAGGCTGTAAACTATGCTGATGAAATCAATTTATATCATGATTTGCTTGAAACTCTCATTAAATTATTTGTTATTTGCCCAATCTATTTATGCAACAGAATAGTATAACTTTTATGTATGCAGTATTAATGGAGAGTTGACAAGCGGAGAGTTGACAGATCAAGAATTTTAAAAATAATATAATATCGTATATAATATTTCAAGAGACTTTCAAAATAATTATACATTTATCAACGTATATAATGTATACTTGTTTATTAAAAGTAAACCTAATGTAGGACACGCATAATTAAATTTAAAAATTAAAAGCCATATATCCCGCTAATAAATCAAGCATCCCGTAATTTTTTATAAATGTATTGTTCCGACCTGCGCAAAATTATTTTGCATATAATAGAATATAATAAAGTGTTAACGAAGTAAAACTAGAGTCTGGCGAGTCTATAATAATGAGGGAATGAGTCTGCGAGTCGGGGACGAGCGCACGTATAAGATCGACCGCGCGCAGTCAGTCATAATAGAGATATTACCTAGAGGGACACGTGCGCCCGGTTAGAAACGAGGATAGCCAGAGAGGTTCATAAAATTAATAACCCATAAATTTCTGGGAATATTGCCGGGAAAATTACTCCGACATATATTACCGCGTCTCCGGCCGGTTAATTCTTGACATCTTCTCGAAATTCTCTAATGTTTTGAAGATGCGGAGACCGTTTGGTACACCATTGTCGTTTTCTTCATCGATAACATAATGAAAGATTAACAAATTATTCCGTTTGACTGTCAATTTTCATTATACCATGCACACACATAATATACACACTTTATTATACGAATGGTCGATAGTTCCCCCAAGAATATATTCCGTTTATGTAACAAACATTACTTTAGCCAAGAGGACAGGAAGGAACGCGGAAGTCAATATTTATTCAACAAATAGGGTGACACATACCACGTTTCACGCACCATGCATCGATTACGGTGGCATTGTTCTAAAGGTCTCACTGCGTCCAATCAAACGTTGCACAAGCATTCAGCAAGTTTCCCTTCCGTTCTACTCCTCTTAGCTATTCTCCTTCATCAACCCTCTCTATCAGCTTTTCCTCTCTATCTTACTTCCATGGCAGAATCCGTAATAGAGGCGTCGCGTCGGATCTTCCGATGTCGTGATCGTTCTTGGTAATTGCGATAGCAGATGAATTATTGTTACAAGAAATGTGAGCCTTGCAGATAAAACGGGTCGACCCGTCGTCTTTGACATATATTCATGATCAAACTCAAACAAGAAAAGTCCACAGAAACTTTCCTGGAAGCCAAAATCTTTACGAAATTGAAAGTTGGTATTATTCTCAGAATTGTTTACAGTTCTAAAGAAACCTTTCCACCAATTAAAAATGCAAGATATTAATTAAAAAATATTTAGTTTTTAATTATTCAACTATTCGAACTATTCGAAAAATGTTTCAAACTATTTGATGAACTATTATTAGATGTGTGTGATACTTAATCCTATAATTCCTACAACGTCTACATTGCTCACCTAAATGAATTGAGAGTTTCCCTAACACTCTTCATCAAGCATGTAATGTTAAGAAATGGTGAGTCTTTTATCGACAACTGATGATGATGATATAAACTTGCGCTTCAATACCAAAAGTGTAAATTTTGGATGTGCGCCGAAAGCAATCACTTAGATCACTGCTTCAAATCCTTGTCATGAACAGCTAAATCGTGGGATCTTGTAAGTTCGAAATAGTAAAGTGCAGCTCTTCGTACTCCGATGTATGTCTACATCACCAGAGATACATGCATTTTTGAAAAAGAAAAAAGTAGGAAAAAAATAAAATAGTAAGAATAAAAAACCATTGCAAGAAAAGAACAGTTGCTAACTAAATACTAATTCGGATCGAGTTATAAATAAGATTACCGAATAATTTAAGCAAAATGATTTCCAATAATAAGATTAAAAATTATCGTTTTTTTTCTTCAACCAAAATCTTTTTTTTATCATTCACAAAAAATTTATGGCATTGTCCTTTTTTTGCTTAAGCTTAAATTCAATCTTAATGCATTTTAAGTGTCACCATTAAAAGTTTCATTCTATATTTATCTTAGTCGAAGCGTTAAACTTATTGAAATAAGACACAAGCTTTATATAACCTCGAAAAGTGCTTCGCCTATATTCGATACAGTTTAGCAGTATACAATTTTAATAAACTAACAAAGAGATTATAATAAGCCACTATGTAGGACCGAGTTCTTTTTCAGACAGTCTACCACCCGAAAGCATCAAAGATCAGATAATTAATTTTAGAAGAAATATGCGATAGAGAATTAATATAATAAACAATATTTAAGAAAATCAACAAAATATTAAAAAATATTGGAAAAAAATCTTTTTCAAATTTATAAAGCAAC